GTAGTGAGTGTGTGAGTGTGTGTTTGTCATTGTGCTGTGGTGCATGGGGGAGGGTCAAAGGTCATTGTGGGAGCTGGTTCTTTCCATTTGGGCTCTAGGGAGCAAGATTGGGTAATTAGGCTTTGAAGCAAGGCATTTTCCTACTGATACGGCAGGAAGGTCCAGCACAGAGAGACTCTTAAAGAGGAATGTAGCTTCCCTTCTCTACATTGGGAAGAAACTAGATTCTAAGAACAGCTGCTTGTCTCAGTGTCTCCTCTAAATGTGGGTTCCAGCCACACAGCTGCTGTGAACCTGGGCTCTGATCCTGACAGAAAAGTGAACACTATGAGCAGACATGAGCACAGGCAGGCAGAGAATGAAGGAACACCGAAATATGAAGTTTTCCCAAACCTAAGCATCAGGTGAATCTCCTTGCAGACGGGATGTGTCTTTGAGGAGATCTGTCCCCCTGATGGCCATATCTAAGTCTCCATTTCCCTGGTTTGTCTTCAGGACGACGTCAATGGGGATAGCAAGCTTGGTCACTCACACGATGCAGGGTAGAGGACGGGCTAACAGCAACAGCTCCTAGGGTTAGCTTGATCCAGTCTGTGACTTAACAATATTCCAATTGAAAGGAGTTATAAAATACTCCTAGCAAGTTGAAATACATCACTGTTCTTATTCCAAAATTCTTATGCAAGATCAATCAACCCCAGAGACCTGATCTAAACTCATTACTCTGTTATCAAAGCAGGGTCTCAGCCCCTCCAAAGGCCATTCGACTCTGGTGCAGAGTGCCATGGGTAGGGATTGTTCCAGCTGAGCAATAAAATTCGTACTGAGTCAGAAAAAACTAGGAGAGGATCCCTCTACAGCTTTGCCACCAGTAAGGAACTGACTCATTTTGGCTGAGTTTCAGCAAGCTCCTGGAACTAACTTACACATTTTACTGCAACAACCGGTCAAAACTGGACTGCTCCCCACTATTTAATCAGCTACAGGCCATGCCCTTTTTCTAAGTAATCTATGACTACATTCAGCTATAGTCAAAGTCCTTCTGAGAATTACCCGTACTCATTAGATCCTAACCATATCCACACAGGCACATGGCCAAAGCAGAATGCCTACAAAGCATCCCTTAGGGACTCTTGGTGACATCTGAGGTCACCAAGTACAAGAGCTCCAGTCTACCATTCCTGTGATACCTACAAAGTAGGCAGCTGGGAGACCTTTATTCTGGAATTGGGAATATATTTCCCAATTCCAGTTCTCAAACAGAACTGCAGACTTCCACAGTTTCTATGTGCCCATGCAGCCCGAGGTCACAAGTGTTTGCCACAGGTTAGGATAGCAGATAAGGACAGGGACACAGGAGGGGACTGTTTGGTGGCAAGGATTGTTGATATGCAGGTTCAATACTTACAGTCAATCATTAGGTCACAATTTGATTTCTTCTCTTAAGCTATAGCATTTAATATTATGAGACAAAGTTGACATCTACAGAGTTTATTCTTGACAACACCACAAAAGAGTCAGAAAAAAATCACACAAAAATTGAATGTTTTAAGTAAGTTGCTTGGGCCACGGTCATAGCAATTCCGGGCTGCATGTGGCCTCATGTACCTGTCTGTGGGTTGCTGGTTGAATATATCTAGGGCAAGATAAAGGTCCAAAAGGACAGAGATAAAGCCAGTGTAACAGACCAAATCCACGTGCTCCCAAATCTTCTGAGAAGCCCAGTTCAAACTGCCTACCACACAGCAGAGGGTTCACGCCCTCATGCTTCCAGATCCCTTCCATTCGGGCTGGGACCTCAGGGTGGGTCCCTCTGGGCACAGTGCCTTATTCACACCCATGGAAGAGGCTCCTGTAACTGCCGCCGAAAAGGAGGCCTTTCAGTAGCTCTGGCTTGGTGTGTGAAGGAGAACCTAGCTCAAAGCTGGAGGCCTCCTGAGTACAGCTGCTTTGCCATGGTTCAGAGAGTATCAGCTGTGAGAGCAAAATACCATAGAGATACAGGACAGCGCTAGGATATAAAGAACAGCAACTTGAAACATAGACTCTGTAGCCAAGTACCTGAACTTGAAACATGACTTCATCTTGAGCTACCATCAGGGAAGACTTTATACTTGATGTGGGATTCCCCTCTGCATGCTGTGAATATGGTTTATTACCACTGGCTAATAAAGAAGCTGCTTTGGCATATGGCAGGGCAGAATATAGCTAGGTGGGAAGTCCAAACAAAGATACAGGGAGAAAGAAGGCAGAGACAGAGACACCATGTAGTTGCCGAAGGAGGCAGATGCCATGAGGCAGCTCAAGAGGTAACAAATCACAAGCCTCGTGGTAAAACATAAATTAATAGACATGGGTTCACTTAAGATATAAGAGTTAGTTACTAAGAAGACTGAGCTAATAGGCCAAACAGTGCTATAATTAATATAGTTTCTGTGTGATTATTTGGGTCCAGGTGGCTGGGAAATGAATGAGCAGTCTCTGCTTACACGTACTGACTAAGCACCTGAGTCCGACAGCCGAGAGCTCAGGTGTCAAACAAACCAACTGGGTTTGGAGAACAAGCTCAGTGAGTAAAGTGCTTGCTCTATAAGAAAGAGGACCTGAGTTCAATCCCCAGAACACACATAAAAATGCTGGACATCCTGGTACATATTTTTAAAGCCAGCACTGGGCAGGTGGAGGCAGGAAGGTCCCTGGGGCTTCCTGGCCGGTCAGCCTAGGCTACTCAGCAAGTTTCAGACAGTGAGAAAACCCATCACCAGAAAAAATGATGGGCCAAGCCTGATGAGTACCACTTGAGGTTCTGTCCTGACCTGTAATACATATACACACAAGGACGTGCACACTCCCATGTAAACATCCACATGAATATTAACACATACACAGACACACAAACATTTTAAAAATGCACAAGGCCACACATCTGCTCTTCACAAGGTCAGAATCTTGCAAATTTTACATGCTTATGAGCTTGGTAGTGTGGATCTTCTAGGGCTACATACAAGGTGAGCGTCTTTGGTCTGCAACCAAGAACAAACCAGTAACCAGATGGAGCTTAAGTAGTGGAGACTGTGATACCCCCGGGAAGCGGGAACCTGGGACATGCTCCACCAAGAAAAGCAGGACAGAGGACAGATGATATTCAGTTCAGCAGAGGGTTTGGTCCACCCAGAAGGAGCAGGTCTTAAGTCTAAGGAGCAGAGTCTATGGTATTCCAAAGGTCTGAGAGATTAAAGGAAACTGTGACCCTTGGCTGGAGGCCAGTGTAAGAGCTGCCTGGGCAGCTTGCAGGCAGTGAGAGCTCAGCCCAGCTACCAGAATCTAAGACTCTGTGTCTGCACCCTGGGAGCAACCAGAGGTCACTTCTACACCTTACAGGTACACTTGGCTACCCTCCACCACAGGGCCTCCACCCACCACACTCTGAACAGAAGAAAGCAGGGACTTTATATATCTTCTGGGGTGGGGATCTTTTACAGGAGTGTCTGAAACTTACATGCAGATTGGAGAGCATATTATGCCCTGATGACAGTGGTCTCAAAGTCCACTTCTGAGGATTATAGCTCAGGTTCCAGTTCATACCTGTCTCAGGCACACCCCGGACACAGGGATCTGAGAGACCAGCGTGCAGCCTTGCTCTGCAGCTACTGGCCTTTCTGTTTTCCATCTCTTTTCTGTTTAATTTTACACACTTAAAAGCATGCACACAGAATAATGGCTTTTGCCACAGCATTTTATATACATATCTCACGGATTTTGCTCACATTCAGTCCTCATTGTCTCCTGTCAAATGTTGTGTGGGCGGTGCTTCCCAATCTCTGAGACCATCACTCAGTCACTTGATAAATAAAGGTGGAAATCTCAGACATCTCATAGCATGGACAGAGGAAGGAAAATGGAAAAACAAGCAGGAATTCACGAGAGAAAATGATGTGTGGGATTCCACACACAAGCACTTTCCTGCCGGGGAGCTTGTACAAAGTCACCCAGTCAACAAATCACTCTACATGTAGAGGGTTACTGTTGTTGAAGGTCTGAAAACAATGTCTGAGGCTTGACAGGGTTGCCAGGATTTACTGGAGAGTAACCCTGAAGCCCTGAAGTCCTCCTAGACGTAAATGAGGGAACCTGAACCATGATGGGTTGTTAAATGTGATCCGATCAGGCAGCCCCGGCCCTCTCAACTCTGTAGCAAGCCATTTTCAAAAGCAAAACAAGGGAGCCCATGAGCAGGGAGCAGACTGGAATAGGGAGACCCCTAACATTACCACCCTCCTCCCACACAGTTAGGGACCCTCTCATTCGCCTCCCAATTTCCCCAATGACTACGGGTGAGACCCTTGTGTGGCATGTAACCTCCAAGAGACCCTGGTCAGTGATGAGGTTTCCTGTGCAGACGACAGTAACATCGGCTGCTGAAAGCAGTTCTTGCCTGCCAGCTGCAGGAAGGGTGCATGAGGAACACGGCTCCCAGTGCCAGAAGAGAATTAAGACGCTTTTAAAAGGGTCTGTTTTTACTTATTTGGCGTTTGCTTACCTGCCCACCAACCGTGGTGTAGTTAGTTAGTGGTTTAGTTAGTTTCGTTTGCCTTCATCCTTAGCTCAGTAATTTTCATGTTAATTTACTCATTCCACAAATATTCCTGAGGTATCTAATATATGTTACATGCTATTTAGTTAGGCACTAAAGAAGGCCAGGGGAGAAAAGACGCCCATGTCCATTCCAATGAAGAACTTGACTTGTATATAGGATGTCTGAAGTTGGTAAGAGCCCTGTCAATAGAGATAAGCAATAGAACATTCCAGCAAGAAGAGAGATGGTGTCTTAATAAGATGGTCAAGAAAAGACTAAGAGGCATAGATGGATGGAGGGGTGAAGTCATGACCCTATTCTGAAAGTGAGGGAAGTGTTTTTTGTAAGATGTGGTCAAAAAGCATGTGCACCGGCCAGGTGGTGCCAAGCCCGAGGCGGCAGTGGTGGCCCTGGTGGTACGCACCTCCTCCAGCCTCCGCCTCTGTTCCTTCTGCTCCTCGATGCGCTTCTGGCGCTCAGCCAGCAGCTGCCGCTTGTGTTCTTCATTCTCGCGCTGCTGCTGTTCCAGCTGTTGCCGCCGCAGGGCCTCTGAGCGCTCCTTGTTGGCCAATTGCAGTCTCAGGAAGTCTCGCCGCAGTGTTGACTCCCCTGGCAGGTTCAGAATGGAGCTGTGGACAGAAAAGAACACGGGAAGGCCTCATGTGATGAGGGTCATCACAACTGTGGGTCCTGGGGGAGGATGTGGGCGAACAGGCTTTGCTCCTGTTTCAAGATGACTATTCCATACATATACTATCTCTCTCCCTAAAGGAATATCACATCCTTCTCTAGGACTGTCCACACTACTCTCTGCACAGTGCATGGCAAGGATGTGCTTCATAACACTCTAATGAGTGTGCAAGCCCCAAGCCATAGGCAAGCTTATCCCTACATATAAGATATATAGATATACAGATATCAGGGGCTATGGAGATGGATCAATGGTTAAAGAGATTGCTACAGCAGCATGAGCCTGAGTTATTATTCCCAGAGCCCCCAAAGAAAGCTGGGTCCAATAGCACATGTGTCTGTAATACTGTAATACTGCCTTCCTTTGGGAAGATGCAAGGCAGAGGATTCCAGAAGTTTGGAGGCCAGCTAGCCTGGTGTGCATAGCAGCTTACAATGAGACACTCTGTCTCCAAGATGGTGGAAGGAAAGACCCATGTCAGAGGTTGTTCTCTGACAGCTAGGCACATGCATCCTGTGCACACATGCATGCATGCACATACAATGCAGCACAACCCAAACACAAGTGCATGTACATACACACACACACACACACACACACACACACAAAGAAAGAGAGCAATAGAGTAAGAGGGGCCTTACTCAATTCCTAGGAGCAAAAGCTCTCATATGCACCTCCTTGACAGCTTATCCCAAGGCCCAATAGGCAGAGGTCACGCTGCTTAGGGGAAGATGCAATGCACCAGGAGAACCAATGTTTAAGATAAGGTTGAAAGCTTGGCCTACTGTGCAAGCCCCAGGGCAATAGGTTGCAAGTTTGTGCAGTCCACTATGCCCAGGGCTTGTCTCAATACACCTCTGTTGAAGGGAATGGTTCTTGTCACAAAGTGTAGGCTGAGGACTGTACTTGAGGAGACTGAGTTCTAGGTTATGTTTAACATAGTAGGTTTAAGTGTACATGGGCTCACATGCATGTGCATGTCTGTGTATCTGTGTGTGTGTGTGTGCACACGCACGCGCGCAGGGAGAGAGAGAGAGAGAGAGAGAGAGAGAGAGAGAGAGAGAGAGAGAGAATAAAGTGAAGCATTAATATTGGTGGTCCCAGACTTCCCAGTGCTAATCTAACTGAAAGCTACTATCTCTGGTTCTTCATGGGCATCTATCAGGGCAATGGAGGAGGATGGCTCCCATAGGTTTATTTAAACCAAGCACATTGAATCAGTGGTTTCCACTGTGGGTCACAACACCTTTGGAGGTGAAATGACCCTTTCATAGGGGTTACATATTAGGTATACTGCATTTCAGAATTTACATTTATAACAGTAGCAAAATTACAGTTATGAAGTAGCAACAAAAATAACTTTATGGTTGGGGCTCATCGCAACATGAGGGGCTGTATAAAGGGTCACAAGATAAGGAAGGCTGAGAACCACTGACTTGAATTTTAGTAAAAAGTTTTCTACCTAAAATAAACTCATAATTCTGTGTCACAGGTACCAGGACAGGGTGTAGGGAGATCGCACCAGCCAGATATTCAGTAGAAAACAGAAATGCGGGTTGGAGCTCAGAGGATAGAGTTCTGAACATCAGCCCATTTCCATTCTGTGTGTCCAACTGGACTACTGTGGTCTATTGTGAAATCCAAGCTTTCACAAATCTGCCTCACTTTATAAGTGGCCAACACTATGAGCATCACAATGATGGATCCTGGCTAGTCTCCAAAAGGGGGTAGGCATGAGGTAACCCAAAACACCATAGCTTGGGGTGTGGAGGTAGCAAGTGCTCATCACACAAACTCATAAAATGAGTGAATACACATAAAATGCTGAGTGTGCATTTGTGACCCCAGTGCTGGGGAGAGGCAGGCAAGTGGATTCCTGAGGTTCATTTGCCAGAGAGCTTGGCCTACTGTGCAAGCCCCAGGGCAATAGGTTACCTTGTCTCTATAAACAAGGTTATTTCTGGAGGATGGTACCCTTGGTTGAGATGTTTACCCCACTCATAACTATATACACATGTGCACTGACATGAACATCCCTCCTCTACAAAAACCCCACAGCCACTCACTAATGTCCTAGGCATATGATGACCAGAACACCTGACAGACTGTACTGAAATATCAAAAATTAAGGTGCCAGGAGATTTCTCCACACATGTGCAACAGCAAAGGGTCTGAACCCTCAAAAGATCTCAGCTTCAGTATAATTCTTTACATTATGGTTTTGACACCCCTTCAATGGGGTTTTCTAGAGGATTTCAGGGAGAAATACTGAGAAGGAAGACTTGGCCTACCGTGATTGGAGAATAAAAAAGTCTCACTTTGCCCCGTGAATATACCATCTCCCTCATAGATATTCCTAAGAAATTCCTTAAAATCCACAAGATAGACCCCACAGTGCTGCCATCCTTTGGGACAGCCCACTCCAAACTCTCCTCAGATTGTTCACTTTGTCTTGTGGTGTAAACTTCCGTTAGAACTGTTCCTCTACAGAATTCCTTCCTCTGAGAAGAATCCAGAAAACCCCTATAACAGATAAACACATTTTCTTTCTACAGTTGCTTTCTTGTGAGAAAGAGGGACAGGCAAATTATCAGAAATAAAATAGAAAATATTCATAGAGAATACAGAAATGATGGTTTATAGGTGCGGTGGTTGAAAGAATATGGCCCTGTAATGGGGGAGGCACTAAAGGGAGGTGTGACCTTGCTGGAGTAGGTGTGGTCTTATTGGAGGAAGTGTGTCACTGTAGGGACTTTGAGGTCTCCTATGCTCAAACTACACCCAGTGAGACAGACCACTTCCTGTTGATATGCAAGATGTAGGACTCTCAGCTCCTGCTCCAGCACCATGTTTGCCTGCATGCTAACATGCCTCATCATGATGAAAATGGACTAAACCTCTGAAACTGCAAGCCACCCCAAATCAATGCTTTCTCCTTTAGAAGAGTTGTTATGATCATGGTGTCTCTTCACAGCAATAGAAACCCTAACTAAGACAGAAGGATTAAACTTTACAGTGGCCAGGAGCTGAAATAAGGATCAGAAAGCCCACTCCAGGGAGGTGAGAGGTGATGGAGAAAAAGGCTGCTCCAGGCAGAAGGGCAAGCAAATTTAGACTTTGATGGAAACAGGCTGGTCTTGTCCTAGAACTGGTCTCTGGTCTTTCCCTTTCCTCCAGAGGCAGAAGCAACGAGAAGGAGTGTGGAGCAAGAGTGAGCAGAGACAGACCATCAAGGACACAGGTGGACGTGGGAGCCATGCCTACAAAGGCTGTCGGCTGAGTTGTAACACTGGCTTCCAAGTGGACTGTAGTCTGCATGGACAGGAGAGCAAAGCTAGCCATGTTTCCTGGTGGAGGCTTGACCCAGCAGGGAGCAGTGGGATAAACCTCAACACGAAGTCTGTGGAAAGATCTAATGTGCAGGGTGAGGAATGGCTTGCATTTTCATTTGGTCTGCTGGTGACAGTGATGACAAGAGGAATGAGAGTTTCGGGATGCAGGGCAGGTTGTTGGCAGTAGACAAGTGTCTCAGGTTGGTTTTGGTGAGCTGTTAGAATCTGTGCCAGATATTGCCAAAGGGAAGGTCAAGAGCTTCCCTGAGAGCACACGTTGGGCAGTTTGGGAGTCTCCTGGGAACCCCTCTACAACTTAGTGTCTGTGTAAAACTCTAAAGCAACTTCCAAACACTGGTGCTTGTACACATAAGCCAAATGCTGTGAACAAAGCTGATGAGGTTGGGGACCCAATGCCACACGCAGACAAGGATGCCCCACTAATCTCAGCTGATGCTGAACTAATACCAGAAGACTGCAGTTATATTAATGACTCAGTTGCTAACTCTGTGTATGACCTGGTGATACTCCTGAGCTATTTATTGCCTCATGTCTAAAATGTGAAAACCATCAGCTTTCTCTACGATTTAGGATTTCAAGATGACTAGTTAGACTCATTCAAAAAATGGGACTTGGTGCATAATCTTCCCCATGATATAACAACATGTTATAATTATAGCTGGTGGCTCACCAAGTGACCCCTGACACACTGAAAGTCCTGGGAAGCTTGGATCTCTCAGATATTCAAAGAACAGCATCAGCCTGACACAGCCATCTGGACTGGAGGTCAAGTGTGGCTTCTCTGACAGCAGGGAATAGGGCCCGTGGCGCTAAAGAATGGTTCATTTTGTATGGCACAGTTTGATGGCCATTGTCTTTATGCATCTCAAGTGGGGGCAGCTAACATGTTCTGATGGAAGAAAAGTATTCTCCTTCGGTCTTTAGCCTTGAGAAATCCTGTGGCAGATGAGAGAGAAAAACTAACGGCCTTGTGAGCTCAGTCCCAACCTCTCAGGGTGGCTTAACAAGAACCGAGCTTGTCAGGTTCAAGTTGGGTTAGGACAGGAGGAGGTCTCACCTTCCCAATGCTGCAACCCTAATACAGCTTGCTCCTCACGTGGCGCTGACTCCCAGTCATAAAATCATTTCTTTGCTGTTTCATAACTGTAATTTTGCTACTGGTATAAATTGAAGTGTAAATATTTGATATGTATGATATTTGATACGTGACCACCAAAGGGGTCGCGACCCACGGGTGGAGAATTGCTGACATCAAAAGACAACAAGAAGCTGGAACAACATTGTCATTCAGTAAAGCATTTCCATGCAATGTGGGGACCTCATTAAATAGCTGGCTGTGGTGGCAATTGTTCACAATCTCAGTGCTGGAAGGGGAGACCACAGGATCCCAAAAGCTCACTGGGCAGTTGGCCTAGCCTAGCCCGTGAGCCAGGCCACGGGAGCCCTTGTTCAAAACACAAAGCTGAGCTCCATGGGACTGTGTTAGATTGTTGCCTCATTTTACTTTGTTTAAGCATTTTTGCCTTCCTGGCCTTTAGCTTGTATATTATGTTTTGATTTTGTGCTTTTATGGTTTTTTTTGCTTTGATTTGTTTTTGTATTTCTTGAGCTCTTTTCTTTTTGATATTTTTTTGGGTCATTGTCTTATTTGCCTGTTTTCTAAAGAGAGAAAGAGAAAGAAAGAGCATGGAGTTGGGTGGATGAAGAGGATCTGGAAGGAGGTGGGTGAGGGAAACTATCAGAATGTAACATGAAATAAGTCATTTCATATATGTATATATATGTGTGTGTGTGTATTGAAAAGAATATAACATATGAAAAAATCATTTATATATATACATATGCATATATTTCACATATATACAAAAACAAGATAATGCTTGATGAATGATAGCTGAGGTTGTCCTTTAAAGTCTATGCTGGCTAATTTTTGTCAACCTGATACAAGTTAGGGTCACCTGGGAGGAGCGAACCTTAGCTGAAGAATTGGCATTATCAGACTGACCACTAGGCGTGCCTGTGGGGGATTAGGGCCCAGTGTGGGCAGGTGGTCCTAGGTTGTGTAAGAAAGCAGACTGAGCAAGCCACGGGGAACAAGCCAGTAACCAACATTTCTCCATGGTCTCTGCTTCAGTCCCTGCTTTGACGTCTCTCCATGATGAACTACAATCTGCATTCCAGAATAAACCCTTTCCTCCCCAAGTTGCTTTTGGTCAGTGTTTTAACACAGCAACTATACAGCAGGCTAGGATTGTCTCCACATGTAGCCGCATATGCTCCCCTCACACATCAACATGCACAGGGGAGGAAAGGAGGGAAGAATGGAGGGAGGGAGGGAAGGAAAGAGGGAGGCAGGCAGGAAGAAAGGAAAGAAGGAAGGAAGGAAGGAAGGAAGGAAGGAAGGAAGGAAGGAAGGAAGAAGAGGAAAAACGCTGTCTCTAGCTTATTTCGGCAGCGTGGTCCCTCGGCAGAACAGAACACTGTCAGTGAGGAAGCACCTGCTCCTTACGCTGCAATCCGAGGGCTAGACACCCCGGAGGCCATAGGCCCGTCATTCCCAACGACCTTTCTGCTTGTTCATTTTCTCCACAATTACCAGTGCATGGTCCATGGGGTGCACAGAGCAGCTGCCCTTGGAACACTTTCACTACAGGGAACCCCAGCGCCATGAGCACACCAGCCTCAGTTACCCATAAATACAGATGGAAGGAATGGGGCTCAAAACCAAGCAAGCCTCCAAATGTGGAGACAGCGACATTAAAGAGCACTGGGTTCCAGGGGACAACAGGAATGGTGGGGATGTTTCCACCAGGGTTCACCTCTGGAGGACAGTTTGATCTTCTAGAATCACCTCCTCCAGCCGTGGTTCATGTGAAATACCAGGACACACGTCAGTAGCCATGGCCACCTGAAAGGCTTCCAAGAGGGATGACAGAAGCTGAACGACTCTAATCTGGAAATGTCACTTAGCTCTCTCCAAAGTCACAATTTTAAACACTTTCAGCACTGTGCTAGCCAAGAAATTGCTTCCTTCCTATTCCATATTTACATGTACGAGGAAACAAGGTCAAGAATACAGGCCATTCCTCTTGGTGGATAAGATAAAGAATATGCTGATTTCTGCATTGTAAGAGTCTGCCTAGGGAAAATTTCACACATTAATGAGTATTGTAGGGTGATACATTAACTCCTGGTGCGTTCCTTCAGACAAGAGCAATAAATCCAAAGGAGAGTGTGATTTGAGCAAGCCCGCTCCAGACGGGTCATCAGAAGGCCTAACCTTCCTCATACCTGGGTTCCCCGGAGTCGTTCTCTTCCTCTTCCTCCTCACTTCCACTGTATTCATACTCAGTCTCATCTGGAGAGAGAGCACAGAGGGTTAGTATAGAAGATGGTGCTGGTGCTCAGAACAAACCACCCCTGCTTCATCAGCGTCCAGGAGCCGCAGCACTGTGTCAATGGACGGCATCTGTAGCCCCAATCCCATGAGATGGTGGAGCTGAAATACATGACTCACCTGTCTGTGACAGGGGTGGCATGAGCTAGCATAGGAGAATACACACACAAAAGCATGTATAATGGGTTCTACTTGGTAGCAACACATGATCTCAACACTAATCTATACTAAAAGCTTACAACATGGGGAGTGCAGGGAGTCCTAAATTTAATCCCACTCCTGTTGTTTTTTTTTAAAGAATAGGTAAATGTGGTTGATTCACTAGGAACATTCATTTAATTTAGTAACATAATAAACAACTTAATGTATAATAATAGGATTGAATATTTGCTTTAAACATTATCAGTATACAATGAGAAAGACTCAAGCAGGAATACAAGACCGTCATTTCCATGGCTATAAAAACAGGAAACGAATGTTCTGGTGGGCATCTCATATGTGAGCAATTAGAGTTAAATGTTTCAGATTTGTTCTCTCATTTACTTACAATAACAGTCCTCTAAAATAAGGGAGGTAGTCAGATTGCAAACTTACAACATCTTTATATTAATAAAAGGTCCATCTGGGATGTATATTTAGAAAATATTGAAATGGTTCAATGTGAAAACCAAAGTCTCCCCTAACACATTCCATCCCATGCAGAAGCACACACAAGGCAATGGGAAGTGAGATTGGGGAGCAGCTGTCTCCCCTTGCTCAGAATGGAGGATGGGAGTAGTGAGCACTGAGGAGGTGCTGAGCTGGCAGGACAGGAAAATGACATTGTGAACGATGTGTCCCCACTGAGGCTGTCCCTAACTAGCATTGTAGGCTCAAGGAACAGCGAGTCCTGAGAAGGCAGGTGTCTGGATGTGGGAAAGCAGATTGTGAAATCAAGGCCACCGGGATACAGTGACTCCCGGTGCTGTGCTCAGTACTTCTCTATAGGTGTGAGAAGCCCTTGGAGAAGCGTTGAAGTGAAACAAGAAGCCACAGGACTGTCACTTCTTTGTGGGTTATTAATTATTAGCCCGAAGACATTCAACAGGACTGAAACTGCAATTTTGCTATATTTCCATTAGGAGGCAGTATTTAGAAGAAAATCAGATTGGCTAAAATTCTATGCAGATATCAGAGAATGAAGGAAAGGGAAATGGGATGAGTTTGTGTGTACTGTATAAATGTCAAGCAAGTCTCACACATGAGGTGAGCAGCAAGTTCTCAGGCTGCCTGTTTTTAAAGAATGTTTTCACCAAACGTAAAGAACCTGCAATCGAATGTCTGTACCTCATATTGAAAAAGTGAGTTCTCACAATGGAAAAGCAGTGTTTGGTTTTCCCGAATGAAGGAAGCTCTAGTGAACAAAGAAGCACACGGTCACACCAATCTCATCTGTTCTCTAATGTAAACCTTTAACTTGCCCGTCTTTCCGATTTTAACATTTTTTTCAGGTTTGAGCTGGATTCCCTTTGCACTATAGGTCATATACAGCAGAAAAATAAAACTCTTCAGTTCTACCAAAAGCTAGTCATAAAGAGATCTAATGGAAAGGTTAAAAAAAATGAAAAGGAGATTTGAGCTGGAGAGGTGGCTCAGCAGTTAAGACCACCTTCTGGAGGACCAGGATTGATTCCCAGCACACATGGTGTCTCACAACCATCTAGAACTCCTGTTCCACCGGATCTGATGCTTGCTTCTAGATTCTGTGGATACTATACATCTGGAACTCCTGTTCCACAGGATCTGATGCCCTCTTCTAGACTCTGTGGATACTATACATCTGGAACTCCTGTTCCACAGGATCTGATGCTTGCTTCTAGACTCTGTGGATACTATACATCTGGAACTCCTGTTCCACAGGATCTGATACCCTCTTCTAGACTCTGTGGGTACTATACATCTGGAACTCATGTTCCATGGCATCTGATGCCCTCTTCTAGACTCTGTGGTACCATAAACATAAGGAGTATACATATGTACATAAAGGCAGAACACTCATACATACAAATTAAACAAATATTATTATTATTATTATTAATGTGAGAGGGCCTGAAGAGATGTCTCAACAAATAAGAGCATGTGCTGCTCTTGCAGAGGACCTGGGTTTGATTCTCATCTACATTGGAGGGCTCACAACCACCTGCAACTCCAGTTCCAGGGGAATCTGATGCCCTCTTCAGGCCACCAAGGGCACTGCATGCAGATGGCACTCACAAATTCATGCAGGCAAAGAAAAACATATATAAACCACCTGGAAATTGGAAACAGACAAGATCGCCTGAAGAAATTGGAAGCATCGGGGGCAGGGGAGAAGAGAGGGTAGAAGGAGAAGAGGAGGGGAGAAGGGAAAGGTTGAGGAGAACTTGAGGGAATGGGATAGTTGAGATGGAGTAAGAACAGAGGTGAGAGCAAGGAAAGAGATATCTTGATTGAGTCAGCTATTAGATGATTAGCAGAAATCTGGCTCTAGAGAAATTCCTAGGAATCCACAAGGCTGACTCCAGCTAAGACCTTAAGCAATAGAGAAGAGGGGGCCCAATCTTGACTTGCCTTCTAGTCAGACTGATGATTATCTTAAATATCACCATAGAAACTTCATCCAACAACAGATGGAAACAGAGGCAGAGACCCACATCAGAACACTGGAGTGAGCTCCCAAGATCCACTTGAAGAGTGAAAGGAATGAGAATATGAGCAAAGAGGTCAAGACCATGATGGGTTCATCCACTGAAACAGTTTACCTGAGCTAATGGGAGCTCACCAACTCCAACTGGACTGGGAAGGAACAACCATAGGACCAAACTAGTCCCTCTGAATGTGGTTGACAGTTTCATGGCTGGGGCAGATTGAGGGGTCACTGACAGTGGCACTGGGATTTGTATCTACTGCATGTACTGGCTTTTTGAGATCCTATTCTCTTTGGATGTATACCTTGCTCAGCCTAGACATAGTAGGGACCTTCCACAAAGCAATGTGCCTTACTCTCTCTTAGGATTAGATGGTGGTAGGGTTGAAGGGTATGTGGAGGTAATGGGAGGAAGGAAAGGAGTGAAAATTTAGATTAGTATTTTTTTAATTTAATAAATTAAAAAAATCAATAGGTATTTTTAGAATGTGAGAGATCAAATCAAATCATTTATTCAGATTGAGAGTTTGTCTGATCTAATATTCTCCTTTGGAAATAGACAAAAATAAGACCAAAACTATGATTCTGGTAGATTTAAGTCCAAGGAGTAATCCTGATTCCTTTCATTTTGATACAGCCCTTGCCATGTACTTAGCTCCAGGTTCCCTGCTTTTCCACACTACAGAGAATGAAGTAGCCTTCCAATCATGATGGAACCACAATTTCTATGTTACATTTCAGTATTTGTGGCACCAAAATTTGAAAACAACCTAAAACACAAATTTTCCCCAATTTTATTCACTGAATCATCAGAAGGTCCCTTGAATAGTTCCCAAAAGTGATGGGTCAAAAAAGAATAGACTAAGAGTGAGTGCCAAAGTTTAACTATGTACTAGATACAGTAGTAAGCATTTTACATACATTATCTTCTTCAGTCTTTGCAATGATGCTAGGCAGGAAGTTATTATGTCATTGTGGTTGCCCAGTCCTTTTTTTAAGGGATGAGAAAACTGGGGTTGCTGTGGAACAATGGTCTTGTATTGTTTTAATAAAACGCTGACTGGCCAGTAGCCAGGCAGGAAGTATAGGCAGGGTAACCAGGCACGAAGTAAAGGTGGGTGACAAGAACAGGAGAATTCTGGGAAGAGGTAAATTCAGCCTGCAGTCATCACAGAGGAAGCAAGATGAGAATGCCTCACTGATAAAAGGTACCAAGCCACATGGCCAACATAGACAATAATGGGCTAATTTAAGATGTAAGAATTAGTTAATAAGAAGCCTGAGCTGAGCCAGGCGGTGGTGGCGCACACCTTGGGAGGCAGAGGCAGGCGGATCTCTGTGAGTTCGAGACCAGTCTGGTCTACAAGAGCTAGTTCCAGGACAGGCTCCAAAACCACAGAGAAACCCTGCCTCGAAAAACCAAAAAAAAAAAAAAAAAAAAAGAAGCCAGTTTATAATTAATGTAGACCTCTGTGTGTTTCTTTAGGGATCAGAGGGGACAGAAACCTCTGTCAACATGGGGTGAATTTCACATAACAGAGTTAGAGTTGGAATCTGAACCCAGAATCTGAACCTTAAAGCAGTCAGACTATTCAGCCTACTCAGTATATACATATAAACTCCCTCTTAAAGAATAGGTACTTAATGGCTGTATATTTGATATAATGCTCTCAAGTGCGGTTTTGACATTTCACTTAATGGCATGCATGGTCCAAGACTAAAATGACAAGGAGTTGTTGAAAAGTCAGAGATCAAGATCTTTCCAAAACAGCTTTATTTTCGGGTCTAGCAGCTCCGGCTGGTCTGGTCTTTGGGACCTCATAAACATCTTGTGCCTATTGACCAACACTGGAAATGGAGGCCTCACAACCTCCCACTTCTGTCTCAGCAAACTGAACTCTTTCGGAGTCCCTGAAACTGGCTGATGAAGCAAGAGCCATTTTCTTGAAGGGTTGCTGAAGAGTTGTCCACCTCCCTGGCTACTGCTGGTGCTACCAGTCAATCCAGTCTGTTTCCCACCTCCATGCCTCTCCTCATACTTGTTGCTGCTTTGTTATTACAAAGAAACAACATTTACACAGTGAGAGGCTTCCATCTTGTGCTGTCTGCTACCTTCTGTCTGCTGCCCTGTACTAAGGACAGGGGAGGGGGAGGAGAAGAAGGAACTGGGAAAAGTACACCCACCTACTTTGGCCTCTGGTCTAGCACACCCACCTACTTTGGCCTCTGGTCTAGCACACTCACCTACTCTGGCCTCTGGTCTAGCACATCTACCTACTCTGGCCTCTGGTCTAGCACATCTACCTACTCTGGCCTCTGGTCTAGTACACCAACCTCCTCTAGTTTCTGGCCTCCCTAGAACTCCTGTTAGACCTTGAGCTTCTCATCCTCCCTACCTTATGCTCAGCTGGCCACAAGTCCTGCACCAGAACACGCAGCTGTAAGCCACCATTCCAACAACTTGGGCATGGTCCCAGTGTCTCAAATCTGGGCTCCTGTGCTCTCCATGGCACAGAGAAGAATATGGGAGAGGAATTTGTGCATCTACGAAATGAAGAAGTGCACCTCAGGACCTTTGGCTCAAAATCTGATGCCTGCCACTAGCCTGGCAACCTAGTGATCCTCTCTGACTGACCCAGCGAGGAGTTCTGTCTGAGTTCTCCACGACTGAATTAGAAACAGATCTTGGAGCACAGAGACATAAATGCTGATGGCTGTCAATACAGAAAAAAATGTCAGCTAGATGAATTCTGTAGGTTGTCTGCCATGTGTAGATGTCACTGTTTGAAATGTGAATATTCATTTGAGTTAAGATAAATCACTTGTCATTTACGAGCTTGGAGTGTCACTAGCATGGCTTTGTTTGCTGCCTAGAAGAGGGGCTGTTGCCACAGGCCAATTTTTTCCATGGAGATTTGCCTTCAGTGATTTCATTCCACCAATGCCCAAGGCTGTGATCTACCAGGCCGTCCCTCACCCAAAAGAATAACACTGTCTTTTGTTTCCTTCTCAGAAATACAAATGTTCAGCGAACCTTTTTCTCCCCGCTTCTTCTTTGTCCTGTCGATATGGTCCTTCAGCTGAATGCGGACCTGCCTCTCATTAGGTTGGTCTCGAATGAATGGATGCTTCATCAGCTGTTCCGTGGCTGGTCGCTGGCTGTGATTCTTTACCAAGCAGCTCTCAATAAATGACTGGAATTTTTTTGACCTGCCAAACAAAAGAGATGAACTCGCAGATAAAATGACAACATAAAAGAAAAGCAAATACATCTTTTGAAATATGGCCTTAAAAAGGAAAAAAAGAAATGGCCATACTGTGAGTACAGGGATCATCCAATCACAAACCAACCTCAATAAAGTTTAATGGTCAAATCACAATCAGCATACATATAAGGTAACATATGGTAGTTATTATATGCATGGGAACACAGTCACACAGGGAACAGTCCCTTACACAAAAGGTTGGGAGGAATCAAGAGGAAATGACCTCTGTGGGAAGCAAGCAGCACTTTATCTATGACTCCTAGAAAGCCCGGCTTCCTCCTAGATAAACTCTACGCTAAGAAGGTCTGGGAGCAGGGAAGGCCTGGAGGCAGATACCACACAGGTAATCAGGGTGGCAAGGCCCCAAGGCAGCTGAAGTAACTGTGGACTGGAGCCAGGAACTGTGGGTGGGGCATGTGTGTTACTGCAGGAAGTTTCCAGGAGTGAATCAGAGTCAGAAGTAATGAAGTCCCCTGCTTCCCAGATGCCTTGGGAGCTCTCCATAAACAACTCAGTGGGACCCCTGATACCTGAGCAGCTTGCCTACTCAGCCATTTCCTTTTGCTCTCTGTCACCCTCCTGTGGCTTCACTTAGGATCCCAGAAGGATGCCTTTCTCAAATTCCCCAACAGGGACATTTCCCAGAAATGTATGTAGTTCAGGCTCTAGAAGTGTCTTCCGCACACAGAATATCATGTGTAGCATGTCCTCCAGCATCCAAGTGCAAGGGCTGGGAGAAGGCTCAGCAGGTAAAGCCTGGTGGGTACTGAGCAGCTGCTATCCTAGCCCTAGAGGGAGGTGGGGGAGACTTAAAGGATGTCTCCTGACACTGAGGGTCGTGGAGTAGAAGACACCAGCGTCAGGAGAGACCTGCATCAACAATGTGGATGAGAGAACCAACTCCTGAAAGTTGTCCCCTGACCTCTGCACGTGCACTATGGCATGTGCGTGCCTACACACTAACACACACACTCACACATGCACACACTCACACACATATACACACAGAGAATGCTTACTATATATTACATATGCAATGAAAATAATTTCAGAGAGAATACATTTAGGATATTCTCTGCTTCTTACCTTATGCTACGTTTTTTCAAATAATATATTTTCTTCTTACATTTCTAAATTATGTATACATTTATAAAGTATCTCGCATCCATCTAAAAGCAATGTAGCATCCTTAGCTACTGCCTGTCTCACAGATAAATTCGGGTTGGCTATGTCATGAACTAGAAATAGTGAGAACAGAACTATCCATATACCTGCTTTGGTGACCTCCAGCCCAAACTCCATTCTTTTTTACTGGAAGTTTTCAGACGTGCCAGGAAGTGCCCAAGTCATTGTCACATTGTGAGCAAACTACCTGCACTACACGTACAGTGGATGAATGCACGGACATACACATGGATGTGCCTGACAACAGTGTGTTCTGGCTGCATCCCAATCTGTGCTTGTGAGGAGCCTAAAGGGAGGTCTGGGGACTGGGGAGATGGCTCGGTGGATAAAGTGCTTGCTGTGCAAGCACAAGGACCTGCATTTGGGCCGCTAGCATCCATTGCACAGCTAGAGCGGCGGTGTGCACCTCTAGCATCCATGTGCACAGCTAGAATGGCGGTGTGCACCTCTAGCATCCATGTGCACAGCTAGAATGGTGGTGTGCACCTCTAGCATCCATGTGCACAGCTAGAGCGGCGGTGTGCACCTCTAGCATCCATGTGCACAGCTAGAATGGCGGTGTGCACCTCTAGCATCCATGTGCACAGCTAGAATGGTGATGTGCACCTAGAATCCCTCTGTTGGGAATGGGGCACAAGACAGGCAGATCCTTGGAGCTAACTTACAGAGCTAATAGTCTAACCTGTTAGTAAGTTCCAGGTTCTGTGAGAGACAGTCTCAACTGTGAGATGAAAGGGATTGAGGAAGTCACCCGACACTGTCTTTTGGCTTCCAAATATGTGTGTGCAAATGTGCATGTGCTCTAGCCCATATATGTATACTACACACACACACACACACACACACACACACACAGAGGGAGAGAGAGAGAGAGAGAGAGAGAGAGAGAGAGAGAGAGAGAGAGAGACATAGAGAGAGATTGGTTGCAAGGAATAGTATGATTTTCTTTCTCAGATCAATCAAATAAAAATATTGAAAAAAGACTCATCTAAAGAATAAACTGGGAACTATAACACTAAGCTCAAAAAACAGTAGCAAACCTGGCAAATTCCATACAGGGCTGCTGTGGGCAGGAAAATCTGCATCAAAAAGATGAAAACAAAAGCGACTTATGACAGAGCTATTAAATATTCACAAGGAATGAGACAGTTCTCTCACTCACTGGCAGCTAGGAAGAAGTGCTTGGTTCTTTTATTGTGCTCTGCTATTAATTAGAGGGTGATAAATAAAAGCAATCACATCCAATTTGAGAAATGAGATCCAGACCTCAATAGACTGTGCATTCCTTTCTCTGACACTGACATCTGAAAACAAAACAACCAAAAATAAAAAAAGCCAGAAAAGCCTCCAGTTCTGCAGGCAGAACTAGAACTGTGTGTTAGCAATGCTCCCTTAGCAGAGCCAGCTGTGAGAGTTCCCTTTCCAGAGCTCTGCTAGAGGGAAGGGCCTCGCAGAGAATGGCTGGGCATCCGAATGACAGAGATAATGGACTGTGTTCTATAAAGCTGAAGAGATAATGTTGCTCACTTAAAACACATTCTCATGTCCAATGTGTTGGCACATTCCCCAAATCGCAGCAACTTGAAAGGCTGAGGCAGGAGGATCACCAGGAGTTTAAAGATTTATATATATATATATGTATGTATATATAATATATATATGTATGTATATGAAGCTGTATGGGTTTACAGTGCATCTGAGCTGAGAACAACTG